CCTCAATGCTATGGGGCAGAGCTATGGGGCAGGGTTGTGGGGCAGGGCTGGAGACTCCAAAAAGGGGATGGGATGTGGGGTGGGGAGGAGGGAGAAGGTGGAAGGTGTGGGGTGGGCTTGGAGGTGGTGGCGGGTGATGGGGTGGTTGTGGGGTGAGCGGGTGGCCATGGGGGGCTGGGACCCATAAGTAGACCTGGAACCCATGATGTTGGGGGGCTGAGCCCCACATGTTGCTCTTCCACCCATGCCATGGGGTTCTCAGCCCCATATGGAGCTCTAACATCCCCGCTATGGGGTTCTGAGCCCCATAAGTTCCTGGGGCCGCCCCCACTATGGGTCGCTGAGCCCCATAGGGTGCCACATCAGCCATGCTATGGGTCCCTGAGCCCCACATGTTGCTCTTCCACCCATTTGATGGACGTTGAGCCCCATATGGAGCTCTAGCACCCATGCTATGGGGTTCTGAGCCCCACACGTCGCCCAGGCCCCCATGTCTATGGGTCGCTGAGCCCCATAGGGTGCCACCTCACCCATGCTATGGGGTTCTGAGCCCCATAAGTTCCTGGGGCTACCCCTGCTATGGGTCACTGAGCCCCACATAGCGGGGCTTGCTGAGCCCACCAGGAGGGGATGGGATGTGGGGTGAGGAGCAGCTGGGGGGTGATCTTGCACCCTGGTGAGACCCCCCTCAATGCTATGGGGCAGAGCTATGGGGCAGGGTTGTGGGGCAGGGCTGGAGACTCCAAAAAGGGGATGGGATGTGGGGTGGGGAGGAGGGAGAAGGTGGAAGGTGTGGGGTGAGCTTGGAGGTGGTGGTGGCTGATGGGGTGGTTGTGGGGTGAGCGGGTGGCCATGGGGGGCTGGGACCCATAAGTAGACCTGGAACCCATGATGTTGGGGGGCTGAGCCCCACATGTAGCCCAGGCCCCCACCGCTATGGGTCGCTGAGCCCCACATGTAGCCCAGGCCCCCACGGCTATGGGTCGCTGAGCCCCATAGGGTGCCACATCACCCACGCTATGGGTCACTGAGCCCCACATGTTGCTCTGAAACCAATTTAATGAGGCGTTGAGCTCCATATGGAGCTCTAGCACCCCCGCTATGGGGTTCTGATCCCCACATGTTGCCTGGCACCCCATGGCTATGGGTCGCTGAGCCCCATAGGGTGTCACATCACCCTGCTATGGGTCGCTGAGCCCCACATAATGCCCCACAGTCCCATACCGTTGGGTGGTAAGCCCCACATGTTGATCTTCCACCCATTTAATGGGGCGCTGAGCCCACGCTATGGGGTTCTGAGCCCCATATGTTGCCTGGACCCCATGGCTATGGGTCGCTGAGCCCCATAGGTGGCCACCTCACCACTTCTATGGGTCGCTCAGCCCCACATAGTGCCCCCCAGTCCCATCCAGTTGGGTGGTGAGCCCCATGTGTTGTTCTTCCACCCATGCCATGGGCTTCTCAGCCCCATATGGAGCTCTAGCACCCACGCTATGGGGTTCTGAGCCCCATAAGTTCCTGGGGCTACCCCTGCTATGGGTCACTGAGCCCCACATAGCGCCCCCCAGCACCCATAGCATTGAGTTCTGAGCCCCACATGTTGTTCTTCCACCCATTTGATGGATGTTGAACCCCATGTGTTGCTCTTCCACCCATGCCATGGGGTTCTCAGCCCCATATGGAGCTCTAGCACCCACGCTATGGGGTTCTGAGCCCCATAAGTTCCCGGGGCCGCCCCCGCTATGGGTCGCTGAGCCCCACATGTTGTTCTTCCACCCATTTGATGGATGTTGAGCCCCATGTGTTGCTCTTCCACCCATTTAACCGGGCGTTCACCCCCCGCTATGGGGTGTTGAGCCCCACATATTGCCCAGGCCCCCATGGCTATGGGTCGCTGAGCCCCATAGGGTGTCACATCCCCCCCGCTATGGGTCGCTGAGCCCCACATGTTGTTCTTCCACCCATTTGATGGATGTTGAGCCCCACGTGTTGTTCTTCCACCCATGCCATGGGCTTCTCAGCCCCATATGGAGCTCTAGCACCCACACTATGGGGTTCTGAGCCCCATAAGTTCCCGGGGCCGCCCCCGCTATGGGTCGCTGAGCCCCATAGGGTGCCACCTCACCCACGCTATGGGTCCCTGAGCCCCACATGTTGTTCTTCTGCCCATTTAATGGATGTTGAGCCCCATGTGTTGCTCTTCCACCCATTTAACGGGGCGTTGAGCCCCATATGGAGCTCTTCCACCCTCGCTATGGGGTTCTGAGCCCCATAAGTCCGCTATGGGTCGCTGAGCCCCACACGCCGCCCCCCAGGACCCCGAGGGGCAGCCCAAGAAGGCCTCCATCCGGGACAACGGGGACGGGACCTACACGGTGTCCTACGTGCCCGACCTGCCGGGGCGTTACACCATCACCATCAAGTACGGGGGGGACGAGATCCCCCGCTCCCCCTTCCGCATCCTGGCCGTCCCCGCCGGCGACGCCAGCAAGTGCCTGGTCACAGGTGGGTCCTGCCCCACGGCTGCCCCATAGCGCTGCCCCACAGCATCCTCCCCCTCACGGCTGCCCCACGGCTTCCCTCGCTGAGATATCGCGTCTTTGTGCTGAGTTATTGCATCCCTCTGCTGCCCCATGGCATCCCCTCACTGACCCACGCTGCCCTATAGCATCCCTCACTGCCCCACGCTGCCCCACACATCCCCACGCTGCCCCACACATCCCCACGCTGCCCCACAGCATCCCCCTGGCTGCCCCACGGCTTCCCTCGCTGAGATATCGCGTCTTTGTGCTGAGTTATTGCATCCCTCTGCTGCCCCATGGCATCCCCTCGGTGCCCCATGGCATCCCTCACTGCCCCACACTGACCCACAGCTGCCTCATGCTGCCCCACACATCCCCACGCTGCCCCACACTGACCCACAGCTGCCCCATGGATGCCCCTCGCTGCTGCCCGACCTGCCGGGGCGTTACACCATCACCATCAAGTACGGGGGGGACGAGATCCCCCGCTCCCCCTTCCGCATCCTGGCCGTCCCCGCCGGCGACGCCAGCAAGTGCCTGGTCACAGGTGGGTCCTGCCCCACGGCTGCCCCATAGCGCTGCCCCACAGCATCCTCCCCCTCACGGCTGCCCCACGGCTTCCCTCGCTGAGATATCACACCTTTGTGCTGACTTATTGCATCCCTCTGCTGCCCCACAGCATCCCCATGCTGCCCCACACTGCCCCACGGCATCCCCACGCTGCCCCACACATCCCCACCCATGGATGCCCCTCGCTGCCCCACGGCTTCCCTCGCTGAGATATCGCGTCTTTGTGCTGAGCTATTGCATCCCTCTGCTGCCCCACAGCATCCCCACGGTGCCCCATGGCATCCCTCACTGCCCCACACTGACCCACACTACCCCACACTGCCCCACACATCCCCTCGCTGCCCCACACTGACCCACAGCTGCCCCACGGCTTCCCTCGCTGAGCTATCGCGTCTTTGTGCTGAGTTATTGCATCCCTCTGCTGCCCCACGGCATCCTTGTGCTGCCCCATGGCATCCCTTGCTGCCCCATGGCATCCCTCACTGCCCCACAGCTGCCCCACGCTGCCCCACACATCCCCACGCTGCCCCACAGCTGCCCCACGGCTTCCCTCGCTGAGATATTGCATCCTTGTGCTGAGCTATTGCATCCCCTCACTGCCCCATGGCATCCCCTCACTGACCCACGCTGCCCCATAGCATCCCTCACTGCCCCACAGCTGCCCCACGCTGCCCCACACATCCCCACGCTGCCCCACAGCTGCCCCACGGCTTCCCTCGCTGAGATATTGCATCCTTGTGCTGAGCTATTGCATCCCCTCACTGCCCCATGGCATCCCCTCACTGACCCACGCTGCCCCATAGCATCCCTCACTGCCCCACAGCTGCCCCACGCTGCCCCACACATCCCCACGCTGCCCCACAGCTGCCCCACGGCTTCCCTCGCTGAGATATTGCATCCTTGTGCTGAGCTATTGCATCCCCTCACTGCCCCATGGCATCCCCTCACTGACCCACGCTGCCCCATAGCATCCCTCACTGCCCCACAGCTGCCCCACGCTGCCCCACACATCCCCACGCTGCCCCACACTGACCCACAGCTGCCCCATGGCATCCCTCACTGAGGTATTGCATCTTTGTGCTGACCTATTGCATCCTTCTGCTGCCCCACAGCATCCCTCCGCTGCCCCGTGGCATCCCTCACTGACCCACACTGACCCACACATCCCCTCACTGCCCCACAGCTGCCCCACACTGACCCACAGCTACCCCACGGCTGCCCCACGGCTTCCTTCGCCGAGATATCGCGTCTTTGTGCTGAGCTATTGCATCCCCTTGCTGCCCCACAGCATCCCCTCACTGACCCACACTGCCCCACGGCATCCCTCACTGCCCCACGGCATCCCCACACTGACCCACACATCCCCACACTGACCCAGACATCACCACGCTGCCCCACACTGACCCACAGCTGCCCCATGGCTGCCCCTTTCTGCCCCACAGCTTCCCTTGCTGAGCTATTGCATCCTTGTGCTGCCCCACACTGCCCCACGTTGTCCCCTTGCTGCCCCACACTGCCCCATAGCATCCTCACGCTGCCCCACACTGCCCCACAGAATCCCCTCACTGCCCTATAGCTGCCCCACAGCTTCCCTCACTGAGCTATCGCGTCCTTGTGCTGACCTATTGGATCCCTCTGCTGCCCCACGGCATCCCCTCACTGACCCACACTGCCCCACACTGCCCCATGGCATTCCTGCACTGACCCACACATCCCCATGCTGCCCCACAGCTACCCCTTGCTGATCTATTGTGTCCCTGTGCTGCCCCACAGCATCCCCACCCTGCCCCACGGCGTCCCTGTGCTGCCCCACACTGACCCACGGCATCCCCACCCTGCCCCACAGCATCCCCTCACTGCCCCACGGCGTCCCTGTGCTGCCCCACACTGACCCACGGCATCCCCACCCTGCCCCACAGCATCCC